TAAATAAAATAGAATTAAGAAGAGTGAAAAGCGGGGAGAAGTTATAATGAAGATATAGAATGGTAAATAAGATAGGTAATGGTATATAAGATGAGCATAAATTTAATTGAAGTCCATATAAAGAGAGGCAATCCGGGGCCAAGCCACTTTCTAAAAAGAAGTTTTATGTTTTTGTGTTTTGTGTGTCTATGTTTGTTTGAGACTTAATAAAACCTTGGAGGAAAGTTAGATGAGAATAATTGTAAACAAGTCAGAGGGAAATATGAATATGATGACTATAAAATGGATAAATATAGAAAAGAAACGTAATTGAATAAGAGTAAAGAGAAATAATGAGAAATCTGCTAAAAGATATCTATGTGGAAATGGGATACATTAGAATTATGTTGTATAAAATAATGTTTTATCTGCCTTGTAAAAATTTATAATGGAAAGAGGTTTTATGTGTTCAATGTTTAATGATGTTTTGTCTTTAAAATTAATAAAATCTGTTTCAAAAAAAAAAAAAACATGCAGAAAATCAACACCCATTCTCCTAGAAGAATGAAATATTTTGAGGAATATTTAAAAAAAGGCAGAATATTATATTTCCCTAAATGAAAAATGGAGAAACATGTTTTTTTAGAGGCAGGAAGCAGATTCAGTCTTTCTTAATAGCCCCCAGCAGATATTATGAAAAATTGGGCCAGCCAATTCAGAAACGCAGATTTGGTAATCCATTTAAGACAGGATATTTTGAAACTCCATGCAGCAAAGTCTGAACAAAGGCAGAATGGTAGGTTTAATCTCCCACTCAAGATCCAAAATAGGACAAAAGCCCTTAAGCCACAATAGAACACAAGCCCATTCATTGCACCATCCCAGAGCAGTCCAAACTTCATCTGGGAGCTCATATAATCAGTAAGCCAGAAGCTGACCAGATTAGCTCAGAAAAAACATCTAGGATTTACATTTTGTCTTTTGCCTATAAAGCCAGCTATGACCCCTACACAACCCCTACAAGAATCTAACAACAGCCAATGAAATACATGTTCTTACACAGGAACAGGAAGTTCAAGTGCAAAGCCCAAAGAAGGTATAGCCCCTCCCCACTCTTAACTCCATTTTGTCAGCTGCACCAGAACCATAAACCCTGGTGGTTTTGTTCATCATTAAACCATCTTTCCAATCACCCTTCATATTTCCAGTGTCTTTCTCCCAGCTTGGAACAGAACCAGATGGATATTTCTTCTCACAAACACATAAAAATTGAGCAAACTTAAAGAAATAGAATCTAGAAACACTTTTATCCTAAATTTATAATCTTATCCTTGTCCAGGAACATCTTAGTTTAAGGATGTGGAATCAATCCAGAATTAAGACAGGTTTCCAAACCTTAGAAACTTCCAGATGTGTTCATTTCAGTTTCTTGAATTTTCTAGTCAGCATAGCCATTACTAAGAATCTTGGGAAATGAAACCTACACACCTGAAAATTACCAAGTTTGTGATACATTAATCTAAGGGCTCCAAATTGCCTGAAAAAATACTGGAACAAACAGTTTAGCACCTTTACAAATAGAATAGATACAGAAAAGGGTTCTTTATACTTATCTATAGCAGATTTAAACTGAAGCCCTGGAGCCCTAATCATGGCGGTGGAGCTCCTGCTAACCAATCCGGAACCCTCCTCTCTTTCCCCAGAGAAGTGAAGCTCTTTCCATCGAGCCCTATTAATCACACCGGTGGAGCTCTTGAACTGGATCACTTGGAGCCAGTGGAGCGCAAACAACACAC